GAAGGACTCGGACACCGGGGACGACCAGCCGGACCTCCTCGAGCCCCCCGAGGTGGCCTCGGCCCGGGAGAGTATCGCCGCCTTGGTGGGCGAGCAGAAGGACCTGCGCAAGCAGAAGGTGCCCAGGGGTCGGGGCCCGGGGAGCAGGTTCGAGAGGCAGGAGCCCGAGGGGCCGGGGGCAGAGTTGGGGAGGAGAGACCTGGGAGCCCAGGCCGCACCTCCTGCGTGACGCGCTAAGTTCCTCAGTGACCTGTTTGTACCTCAAGCTCCTCATCTGTACAAGGAGAGGGGTTGTGGCCTCTCACATATCAAGGCCTCACACAAAAATGGTCGCCAGTGTGATAACCAGGGTTTGCTGGATCAGGGACCTTTGCCTTCTGTGCCGGAGCCTGCCTGACCAAACCAGGGGCCGTCAGGGCCCCCTGGGCCCGAGGGCATCGGATGGGCTGGGGTTGAGGGGCAGGCTGTGGTCAGAGCAGCCAAAGGTGGGCACAGAGGGGCCATGAGGGGGCGGCCCCTGGTTACAAGGCCCAAGATACAGCTTGGAGGGTGGGCTTGGGACTGGAGCTTCAGCTGGGAGCCTGGGAGTCCGGGGACAGGAGGGGCGCGGGTAGGAGCGCCCCCTGCCGGCTGCCTGGCGCTGACCCCCTGCCGCTCCCAGCTGGCGCTGGAGCAGCGCTGCCGCGAGCTGAGCGCGCGGGGCCGCCGCCTGGAGGAGACGCTGCCGGGACGCATCGGCTCCGAGGAGCAGCGCGAGGTGCTCAGCCTGCTGTGCCGCGTGCATGAGCTGGAGGTGGAGAACACCGAGATGCAGTCGCACGCGCTGCTCCGCGACGGCGCCCTCCGCCACCGCGGCGAGGCGGTGCGCCGCTTGGAGCAGCACCGCACCCTCTGCGACGAGATCATCCAGGGCCAGCGGCAGATCATCGACGGTAGGTCCCGCACTACGGAGCCGCCCAGGGGCCCTATAGACCACCTGCAGAGCCCGAAGGCGCGGCCTGAGCCCTGTCCCGCCTCCAGCAGACTACAACCTGGCTGTCCCCCAACACCTGGAGGAGCTTTATGACGTGTACCTGCGGGAGCTGGAGGAGGGCAGCCTGGAGCGGGCCACCATCATGGACCGGGTGGCCTCCAGGGCCCTGCAGGTGGGTGCCTGGGCATGCAGTAAGTGGTGGGGAGGGCAATGCCCCAGGTGACACTTGCAGGGAGCTGGGGGATCCAGGGGTCCAGGCTGCCTGACATCCCACCCCGGGCAGCCAACTCCCTTTCCTTCTTACCCCACCCAAAGCCCTGCCCAGCCTGAGTTCGCTATCGCGGGCATTCTCCTCTGGCACTTGTCTTCACTCAGGGTCAGAGGGTCAGGGTTGGCACCTGAGCTATCATGAGTGGTGGCCCCAAATGCCCTCGTGGGAGTCCAGGCCACCAGGTCCTGAGTGCCACTGGGGATGGAAACAGCCACAGCTCGCCCCTTGGGACCCGGAGCTCTGCCCTCTGGGACTCCCAGCCCACACCACGGCCCTGATGTCCCTGTGCACCTCTGCCACCCTGTGCTGCCCTCTGGTCCGGGGCCAGGTCTCCTGACTGTCCGCCCCGGCCCCCCTCCCCAGGACAGCTCCTTGCCCAAACTGACCCCGGCAGGGACCATGCTGACGCCGGAGTCGGACCTGGAGAGTGTGAAGACGCTGAGCTCCGGGGCCCAGCGCCTGCAGAACAGCACCCTCCCGCCCCTCAGCACGGAGAGGTGAGCCCAGGGCCCGTGGCCCCTGCCCTGCCAGCCCGGGCCACCACAGGGTGCCAGCCCCGACGAGGGCCTCCTGGGGAAGATGGAGCAGGAGCAGAAGGGAGGAGGTGGCACAGGCCTGGAGCCGGGGCTCCCGGGTTCTCTGTCCTCTGGCGTGGGGGTGGAACCTCTCGGGGACCCGCTGGGTCACCAGATGCCCACCCTCCTCTGCCAACCTCAGTGAAGCCAACCTCGCGTTCAAGGCCAGTCCCCGGGCGTGGCAAGCGAAAAGCTCCTGCGTGCCCACCCCACCACCCATCCAGATCAGCAGCCTGGTGACCCAGGAGGTGAGCACTGGGCCCCCGATGGCCCCGAGGGCCCCTCTGCCGAGGGCGGAGGCACAAGGGTGGACACCCGGCTGCCCCACCACGACCACCGCCACTGAGCCCCTGCTGTCTCTGCCGAGTGGGCGGGGGTCTCCACCGTGTCCACCGCCTTTTCCTTCCCAACCCCCTCGCCCCTCAGGTCCTCACCCAGGACAGCCTGCTCAGCCTGCACAGCCGGATCAACTCATCCCCGGACAGCAGCGAGCACCTGTCGGAGATCCCCTTGTCCCACACAGGTGTGCCCCTTGCCCGCCCCGTCAGCCTGAGCCTGGCGTCATCGAAGCCGCTCAGACCGCCCAGCGGACCACCCTCCCCGCCCTCTGAATGCACCCACGCATCGGGTGCTGGGAAGGAGGCACTGATGCCCAGAGGGCGTTAGCCATCGGGACGGGGAGTGAGGGCACAGTGGGAACCAGGGCGGGGGACAGACAGCACTCGGTGTTGGGCCCCCCCAACCCCCCCCCCGCCCCAGTAATAACTGTGACAGCAACTGAGGCGGATCGAAACCAACCACTTGGCCGTGGGCTAAGCCCGTTATCTCGGCTCCTGCCCGCAGTAGCCCTGTGCGGTTAGTGTCATCAGTTTACAGATGGAAGCGAGGCTCAGAAATGTGCCGCAGGTTTTTTAAATGTCGAGTGAGTGGGGTGCTGGCGCTGAAGCCCAGACATGCTGGCTCCCTCCCCGTCTCTGTCCGGGCTGCGGAGGGGTGTTGGGGGTTCAGGCGGGAGAGGATGGGGAGGTCTAGATCCCGGCCCTCTGTCCCGCTGCAGAGAGGACGGAGATCCTGAGCGGCACCAAGGGCATCGCCGTGAAGGCTGCCCGGAGGCGCTCCAGGGCCCTGGGAGCCGAGGGGTGCCACCCGCTGGCCGCTGCGGTGCAGCGCAGCAGCCTGTCCCTGCACTCGCTGAGTGAAGCTGACGACGCCCCGCCCCCCGGCCCTCTGGCCTGTAAGCGGCCCCCCAGCCCCACGCTGCAGCACGCTGCCAGTGAGGACAACCTGTCCAGCAGCACGGGCGAGGCCCCAACCCAGGTGGTCGGGCATCGTGGCGACGGCCCTGGGCCCTGGCTGCGTGGCCAGAAGAAAAGCCTGGGCAAGAAACGGGAGGAGTCGCTGGAAGCAAAGAGGAGGAAGCGGCGGTCCCGGTCTTTCGAGGTCACAGGACAAGGGGTGAGGCCGGGGAGGGGATGTTTGGGCCCCTTCCTTGTGTGTGTGGGGGGGGGGGGGCGAGGGCTGGGTTCCCCCCGGAGGCTGAGAGGCGCGTGCACCAGCCCTGCACCACCCTCCGCGCCTCTGCCACCTGGCTGCCAGTAGCTGGGGCACATCCCCATGCTGGCCAGGCCTCGTCACCCCACTGTCCTCCAACCAACACAGCTCGCCCGCCCCAAGGCACACCTCCTGGGGCCCCGTGCCCTGGAGAACATCTCGGACCACAGAATGCCGGTGTGCAGGCACCCAGCCCCTGGTATCCGGCACCTGGGAAAGGCCGTGCTGCCTTTGGCCAAAGTCAAAGTCCCTCCAAGCCAGAACACAGGTCAGCATCAGCAGGAGGGGGGTGAGGAAGAGGAGACCTCAGCTTGCCCAGGGAGGAGGTGTGCAGAGCTGTCTGCCTGTCTGGCCACCCCTGGCTGGAAGCAGGGTCCTTGCAGAATAGCATGGGACTGGCATTTTGGGGTTGTGCCCCCTAGGGAGTTCAAGACCACTGGGTGATCAGAGAGGGGAGGGGAGGCATTCCTAACCTCTGCGTCTGGCCCTTCCCCTGTCCCAGGCCCCGGAGTGTCCTCCCCCCTTGCTGTTCCGGCCAACCCAGCTGGTGTTTCCCGGCGAGCTACACGTGGGCCCCGCCTGCCCCACGGCACAAGCACCCATGGCAAAGACGGACACTTCCGGCGTAACTGAGGGGCCCTGCCTGGAGCCGACTCTCCTGTCTGCCCCCCCGACCCCCAAGACTGAGTGGGGCGTAGTGGGGAATGGAAACTAGGCAGATGGGGTGATCTGGAAGCAGGAGCTCGGGATCTCAGAAGGCCCGGGCTCCGGAGCCCCAGGAATTCTGAGGGGGCCCACCCAGCCCTTCCACGTGTGCGGTGCCACCGGGGAGCGGGGGGAGCCCAGCAGGCATGGCTGGGGGGACAGGGCTCCCCAGCCTCCCAGCCCTGGACAGAACCCTGTTGCCAAAACTCTGCACGGACCTGCAGCCAGTCTTGGCCTCGGAAATCGGAGAAGAGAGTTGTTACTGGGACAGGGCTCCTGGGCCCGCTGCTGGGGCAAGAACACCACCCCCCATGGTGGGGGCGGGGCCAGCGGGACTTTCTCACCCGGTGGGGGTGGGGCAGGGGGAATCCGGTTTCCTCACTTGGCAGCGGCTTCCTTTTTATCAGTAAAATCCCGTTTGGGTCTTGACTGTCGAGTTGGAAACTAGATCGTGTCTGGACCGGAGTGGCCCTGGCGGACTAAGATGAGTCCCAACCCCCTTGCCCCTCCTCCGCCCACACCCCGTCTCACTCTGGCTGGCAGCATAGCACCAACCCACAAACACGTGGGTGAAAGGGGTGTTTCTCTAAACCCTGAGGCCCCCACCCCAGGAAAGGGGGCTGGCAAGGCCCGTTCCTGCCCCGGCACACCTGTCCCGGGCTCCCCCCACCCCAGTGAAGCGCAGGCTCAGAGGTCGCCCAGCTAAGGCCCTCGGCCCCGGAGCCGCCCAGGGTTCCCAGCCCTGACCACTCCAATGCCCTGTTCCATGTGAGGGTGGGGAGCCTGGGGAAAAGTTAATGAAACACAGGGAACCCTTAGGTCTGTGCGACCCCCCTCCCTTGGGCGGACTTTTCCGGAGGCCCGGATGGGTCAATCACCCCCTTGCTTCTCTATCAGTTTATTCAACCAAAAGCAACGTCTTTGAGTCAGCCGTGAAGCCGCTGCTGAAACCAGGCATCTGCTCTACCATCCCTCGCCTGGCCTCCCTCTGAGGTCACCAGCACCTGGTTGGTCACCTGGAGGGCCAGTGTAGGCAACGCCGTTTGCGTGGCCCCTCCCAGTCCCTCCAGGCCAGCTCTGCCAGGCTTTCTGGAATCGTCCGGGACACCAGGTTCCCTGTCCCCACCCCGCTTGGCTACTTGGGGGTCCGGATGAGGGTGTGGTAGACGGGTTTGACGATGAGGTGGAGATGCAGGGCGTTCTCCACCAGGTACTCGGAGTTGCGCCGCTGCAGGTCGGCGTGCGCCAGGAAGTCGCCCGCCTCCTCGCTGCTCTGGTGGAAGCTGTAGGCGTGGCGGACCAGGAGCCGGCCGTGCTGGCGCGCCCCGACCAGCACCGTCTTCTGGAAGCTCACGCCCGCAGCGTCGCCGCCGCTGCTGGCTGGCGTGACCACGAGCCGCGGCCGGCCGTCCTCGGGGCGCGCGGCGGGCAAGGCGGTGCCCGGGGCGTCGGCGTAGACCGGCCGCAGGCTGACCGGCAACCAGCGCGGCGAGAAGAGCACGTTCCACGTGACGCGGCGGCCGGAGTCGTGGCCGCTGGGGCCCAGCTGCGTCTGGAAGCTGGTGCTGCGGTCGTCGCGGGCTGGGTTGTTGATGACCCACGGGGCGCCCCAGGCGGGCGCGAGGTAGTTGCGGGGCAGGAAGGCGCTGCCGTTGACGTCGAAGAATTTGGCGTAGTGCAGCGGCGAGGCGGCGTGGAACTGGTAGGCCTGAAGCAGCAGGTCGGCCACCGCCTGGCCGTGGCGCGCCAAGGCGGCCGAGCGTGCCTGCAGCTGGAACAGCTGCGCCGGCGGGATCATGGGGTAGCGGATGGCGCGCAGTGCCCGCTCGGCCACGGCGGTTGGCGGCCGCGCGCGGCCCAGCCACGCCTCCAGCGCGTGGAACAGCTCCAGCTCGTCCTGCAGCACCAGGTCCGAGCGCGGCAGCAGCTGCGCCAGCAGCTCGGGACTCACGGCGCCCCACTCGGTGCTCCCCGCCACCGCAGACAGGTTCCAGGCCAGGAACTGCAGACAGCTCTGGCGCAGGGCCTCGTCCCCGGTGCTCACCGCATAGTGGTACCAGCCCACCGCCGGGCCCGCGCCGCCGGCCAGGTGCGCGCGCATGTAGTCGGCCACGCCCCGCTGCAGGGAGGCCACACCGTACTTGGTGGCCAGCTTATGCAGGGGGATGGCCTGGGCCAGCAGCACCGCCAGTTCCCCGCAGTAGAGGTACCTGCGGAAGAGGTGCAGATAGGGGGCGGTGTCGGAGCGGGCCGCCTCCGCCCCCGCCCCCGCCCCCAGCCTGCGGCTGTGCTTTCCGAGTCCAGAGAGGACCCCGCCTTGGGTGGAGAGAGCTTCGGGATCAGGGTGCTCACAGAGCACGGAGCCCTGAGGCATCCGGTCATTTCCTCTGTCGCTCATTCTACTCCCCAGCCTCCTCTTTCCATTTCCCGTGGGGACAGACAAGTAGCACGTGTTTGTGGAGCATCTACTCCATGCCAAGCTCAGTGCCGGAACAAGCCGGTTCGCGGCTCCCAGTCCTGGGGGATGCGGGCGCTATCACCGACCTGCCGTGCGTGCGTGGGCAAGTCATGTAGCTTCACTCGCCGCTGGACCCTGTGTCGAGCCTCTAGGAGAGGGGGAGTAACGCCCACCCCCCGGGGGTCTCGTGACAGTTGGAGAGGGAATGGTGCTCGCCGCAAAGCAGGGGGTCACACGGGTTCACTCCCACTTTCCCCTCCCCCCTCTCCTTGCAGCCCGGGTTTTCTCGCTGTGCCTCCGGTCATCTGTCGTCACTCCTGCTCACTCATTCTGTCTCCTCCATCTGTCTCGTGTCTCTGCTCACCCTCCTGCCGGTGCCCACCGGCACACACTCTGGGGGGCGGGGGGGGGGCAGCGAGGGTCAGATACAGTCCCAACGCCCATGCCTCCCGGAGATTCAGCCCGGCAGCAAGTTGGGAATAAAGGATGTCCCCCCTCCCCCTCCTCAGAGCGAGTGTGGCCACGTGACTAGGTTCCAGCCAATGAGAGGTCAGCAGCGGTGCAGCATGGGATTGAGGGGAAGGATGGTTCAGTGGAGCCACCTGGGGTGAGGGGACGATCCCTCTGGCCCTTGTGTGGTGTCCCTCTTCCTGTTGGCCTCGAACTTGGATGTGATGGCTGGAATCCCGGCAACCACATTGTCTAGGTCATTAAAGCCGTTCCTTTCTCAGACTACAGTGTGACTGGCCCCCCGCGTGCTGGGCACTGGCAGGAGGCAGGAGGGGCGCAGCGCTGGCTGACTTTTTCGGCTCCCTAGCCCTGCGGTGCCCAACCTGGCCTGGAGAACAAGCCACACGGGGGCCTTGAGAATTAACAAATGACGGCTGAAGCTCGGACGGGGAGCCGAGGATCCAGGGCGGCGCCCCGGATTCTGCAGTTGTAAAAAGTTCTCCTGGCTTCCCTGGCTGGCGTAGCTCAGTGGATTGAGCTCGGGCTGCGAACCAAAGTGTCGCAGGTTCGATTCCCAGTCAGGGCACATGCCTGGCTTGTAGGCAACCGCACATTGATGTTTCTCTCTCTCGCTCTTTCTCCCTCCCTTCCCTCTCTAAAAAATAAATAAATAAATAAATAAATCTTAAAAAAAAAAAAACCTCTCCTGGCCAGGATTGGAAACAGTTCTGAGAGCTTTTGGTGACGGACATCAAACCCCTGAGCTCACAGGCGGGGCAGGGACTCACGCTGCACGTGCAAGAGAGAGGGCAGAAGAGAAGGGGTGGAGGGGGTAGTGGCATCCTCATCCTAACGCCCTCTGGGAGATGGACATGATGACCTCTAAGGGGCCAGGGCTCCCAGGACCCTGTGCATGGAGGATCCTGGAGCTCGGGAAGGCTGGAAATGCCCCGCCCCCACCGCGCCCCTCCGCACCTGATGAACTTGTCAAAGACGGCGGCACAGTCCCTGGGCTCCTGCAGCACCACCTCGCTCTGGTTCCTCAGCAGCTCCCGGAGCAGCGCACTCTGCAGCCCCAGCAGCAGGCGGTGGGCGTGGAACACTCGGACCTCGTCGGTGCCCGCGGCCTGCACCCGCAGGACCACGTCGCTGGCGTTGCCCTGCCGCAGGAGCTCCTGCAGGCGCTGCAGCAGCATCTGGGAGTGGTTGATGGCGGTGCCCCCCGCCTCGCCGCCGACCTCGGCTCTCTGGGCTGCGGCAGGAAGGGACACAGCACGGTCTGAGGTGGCACCTGGGCCGGGGGCCACCTGGAGACGCACGTGCCTGGCTGTGGGCAGAGGGCAGGTAGGCCTGGGGAGGCCGTGCGCACACCTGTTTGTGCCCGAGGAGTGCGTGGGTTCCTGCGTGTGCGCACAGCACATCCTGGTGGGGAAGCCGTGAACCTGACCCTGAGCAGACCTTGAGGGGATGCCTAGGGAGGGGAGGTGGACTCCTGGCAGGGGAGGAGAGAGAGGCATGGTCCCGTGTAGGACCAAATGCCCAGAACTGGTCTCTGGAACGCTGGACCCCCAGGCAAGGGCCAAGGAACCCCTACTCCGGAAGAACTCTCCACCTGGTCCGTAGGACGGGTCATGGGCTAGCCTCTCCCCCAGGAGCTTAGCATGTGGCCGGGACCAGAACAAGCCAGGTCCTCATGCTCAGAAAAGTGCGCAGCAAACCCCCGGGCAAGCTCTCTAGTTTCAGGGTGTGCTGCCCGAGGAAGGGGACGGTGACAGTGGGGCTGCGGCTGCGTTAGGTCCAGGACCCCGGGGTGGGCTGGCTGAGGGAGGGAGAGGGGGCCAGGAGGACAAGCGTCAGGCTGAGAGCCGGCCCCCTGGAAAGGATGGGCTTGGGGTGCTGGGCGCCAAGAGAAGGTTAGGGGGCTGGGGGCTGCGAGGGCGGGGAGGGGGAGCGTGAGACAGACCTCAGGTGTGGAGGGAGCCACTTCCATGCCCAGGGTCCCCTTCTGGGACAGAGAGTCCACACTCAGTGGCTGGACTGTCAGTCGGGGACCAGAGGGGGCACAGAGGCTGAGGCGCTGCTAGGGTGGGACTCTCACGGGACTTGCATGTCAGGGCGGGCATCCCCCTTGGAGGCTGGCCCTTCCGTCAGGTTTCAGGGGCACCGTGGGGGTCAGATGGGGACACGCACTCAGTGACAGAAAATGCTGCCAGCAGCTTCCCCAAGCCGAGAGGGGTGTGAGGAGCCTCCCAGGGAGGAAAGGGGGCGTCCCACTGCAGTAGAGGGCACCCGCCCCACCCCTGGGCCCGAGCAGCCCGCGAGAACCACTGGAGGGAAGGCTCACCCAAGAGCAGAGCATCTGTGCATGAGCAGGAGGGAGACAGAGGGAGAAAGGGGGGGGGGGCGAGAGAGGGGCCCCGCCTCCCCAGGCTGTCACTTTGAAGGACCTGAGTGCTGATGCATCCCATTGGCCTCCGACTGGGGCCAGCTGCCCTGGACAACGGACAGTGAAGGGTCTCCTTGTCATCGGGACTGGACCCCGGCCCTGTGGGCCCACCCCTCCTCCCGCTGGGGCAAGCCGCCCTCCTCCTGGGCTGTGTGGACTCCGGGCTCCTCCTGGCTGGCTGGACACTGCCCCTCCTGCCGGTGTGCAGCCAGGACAAAAAGGGCCTGCCCCTGTTCCCTGCCCCCCACCCCACCCCACCCACCGCCCACTCACCCGCACGAGTGGCCAGGCCCACCAAGGTCAGGATGGCCCAGAAGCTGCCCCAGGACCCCGGCTTGGTGCAGCCCAGCCTCGGCATCGTTGTGGCCCCCTCAAGCCCACCAGAGGGACAGGGACACCCAGGCCACCCCTCTCCCATCCCTCCTCCTTATATAGGACTGAGGACAAGGGGATGGTGCCCCTGTCCTGGCCGGGCCGCCCTCCCCCCACCCGGCCTCTGCCTTGGATTGGTGGAAACCGGCCCCAGCTGTTGCCCGGGCAACCTCTTAAGCCAGAGAGTGGCAGCCCCAGGGGCTATTGTGCCGCTGAGGGCCCGGAGCAGGGCAGATCCGGCACCCTCCCCCACATCTCCTGCCCCCAGCAGAGCTGGCCCTCTTCTCCTGGGAAGTTTGAGGCTCCCCAAGGGCAGGCGAGAGGCTCCAGGCTCCAGGCTGACTGACGGCGCTGGCCCAGAGGGTCCCCGGCCCCCTCCCCCAAGCTCCTGTGCTGGCACAGAGCAGGCGTGGCGGCATCTTGGCTGGAGAACCGTGCTGAGCAGGCTGCAGAGAAGGGCCTGGGAGAAGGGAGGGCCAGGGCGGCTCGAGCTCCCACCCGCCCCCACCTCCCCTGTCGGGGCGGGCCAGCTCTCCAGTGAGGGCAGGGGTGTGGAACAGGGACCCGTGGGTAACTGGTGTCATATTCATGATTTTTGTGCGGGAGTGTCCTGGGCACACTCTGGGGAGGGTGGCAGGCTGTGACCATCACCCCCCCCACCATGGGTCGAGGTGAGCCAGGGTGGCAGGGCTGGGCATAAGGCAGGTGCACCCTGGCCCCTGCGTCAGCGCAAGGGGACACTTCGCCCGGAGCAGGGCTGGCCACCCCCGCAGGCCACCCTCCCCCTGCCCAGCCTGCCCAGCCCGCCCGGCCTGGGCTCGGGGGCTGGAGGTGCTGAGATGCACCCCTGTGTGCCCCGCCACCCCCTCCTCTAATTCACCTTCCCATGTGGCCTCGGGCCTCCAGGGGCACCTGCTCATCGGGCCTCTCTCACTGCTTCTGTCCAGCTGCCAGCTGTGGTGTTTCCCTCCCCAGTGTTCCAAGGAGACACCCAGAAGGCCTGGCCCCCACCCCGACCGTAGGGGACACTGAGGCAGAGAGCGAGGGCAGGCCCTGCTGGGTGGGTGCACCTGGGCCCCTCTTGTGGGCAGCGGAGGTAATCAGAGTTAGTGAGTGGGGCTGCCACGAGGGTGACGAGTGTAGGGATGTAGTGGGTGCTCAGGAAGTGTTGGTGGGGCCCTGCGCCCATGGCTGGCCTTTCCAACTCGACTGTAAACAGCTCCTTGCTCACCCAGCGCCTCACGGCGCAGGCAGGGAGGTGACGACCAGGGGAATTCTCCGTCCTTGCTGGGAACTCACTGCATTCTGGGGCTGGGGTCCTGGACACTCTCCCTGGGGGTCTGAGTGGGTGGTTTCTACTCTGTGCCCAGCAGGGGACCTGGCCAAAGCCCGTGGATTCTCAGAGTCTTGCAGGGTTAGGATGTGGCCACCAGGGGGCAGCAAGACTCCTGTGGTTGCAGCAGGGGGTGGACCTGGAGGTAGAGGTGGGAGCAGAGGTCAAGGTATACCACTCCTGCCCCAGGTGTGAGGCTAGCAGCTGGAAGCCAGGCTGCTGTGTTGCCAGAGGGCGAGGGTGGGAGGCGAGTCCAGAGGGGGCACAGCTCTCCTCCTGCGCAATGCTGGGGTGCCCGCTGGTGGCCGTACTGGTCACTTCTGCCCCCCCCTCGCCCCCCCTCCATTGGCGGGAGCCAGCCAGGCACAGATTCACACACCGTCTGGTGTTTGTTTGCCCCTGAGTGACACTCCTTGCCGGATGGCCACTTCACCAGGGCCAGGAAAACAACAGCTTGCAGGGGGCCCGCTGGGTCTTGGTTTCCCAGCGCCGCTGGCAGCCTACCGGCCTGCTCCAGCTTCTCTCCACGGGTGTAGCTACCCCTGCGCCGGGCTTCCTGACGCCCCTCCAGGCCACGCCCCCAGGGAGCCTCCTCCCGGTCTCACCGCGCGCCCGACCGCCCGCAGCCGCTGCAGGGCTGACCGCTCCAAACCCGGCCCAGGAGACTTCCCTCCCGACCTGGGTGCTGCCCACGGCGACCTCCCCTCTCCCCCCCCCAGCACTGGTTTCCCCCGCCCCTCTCTGCAGACCGGCCTTTGTCTCTCTGAGGCTGGTAGAGTCGGCTCCCCAAACCCTCCTGCCTTTCCCCCAGGTCCTCCCCCAGGGTGCGCCGCCCCGCTGAGCCGGTTCCCAGAGTGTAAGCGCACAGAGAAAGCGCAAGGCAGACTGTCCAGAGCCCGACCTCCCTTCTCCCAGCCGCATCCTGCCCTGCCCCTGCGCCCTGGGGATTCTGGTGTGCTCCAGGCTCGTCAACTGTACCAGCTTTTCCCCCCCCCCCCCCAGGCTCAGCCCCACCCTTTCCTCCCTCCTCCTCCCTCCTCCCCACCATCCCCCCTCCCCACACGCACGAACAGGCTCAGTGCGGCCCCGGAGAAACCTCAGAGCTCACCACTGCTTGGGGAGCTGGTGATGCTGGGAAGGACCTGCAGGGACACCCAGGAAAAGCCACAGGGGGACCCTGAATTCAGGACCCAGGAGCATGAGGCTTGAGGGACAAGAGACAGGTAAAGTATGGAGAACCAGGTGGGAGGGGAGACTCGGGGGGGAAGGACAGGCGGGGAGCCCAGCGGCCCCGGCTGGGGCGCCAGAGGCTGGTAATGAATGGGCGGTGTGTCCGGGGAACTCGGTTGAGCAGGGGGCAGGGCGAGGGGGAACTTCAGCGGGAAATCAGAACTAGAAGGTAAAACCTAAAGACCTAATGTGTGGGCTGAGGGGCACAGGGAGGTCACCTTACCCTTTCGGACTCAGTTTCCCCATCTGAATACCAGGGCCGTTCCAGCTCCAGAGGGGTGTTCTTTAGCGTAGGAAAGGGGGGAACCTAGCAACCTCTCTCCTCGAGGAGGGGCGGCTGTGGAGGAGAGCCGGGCAGCTGCTGCGGGTCACCGTGGGTGGGGATCGCCTGGCATGCTTACGAAACGCGCAGCCCCAGCCGGGGTGGCCTAGTTGGTTGGAGCGTCATCCCGGGCCTAGGCGCATGATCCCCGGTCCGGGCACACACAGGAAGCAACCAATCGATGTTTCTCTCTCTCCCTTCCTGCAATAAAAAGGTGTCCTTGGGTGAGGGGTAAACAAGTAATAATACATAAATAGTGAAAAACACAGCTGCTCAGGCCCCTCGGCGGACCCCGGGGCGCAGGCTGCCGGGAGCGGGGTTCGGGAGCCTGTATGTCCACAAGCGCCCCCATCCCGCCCCAGCTGTGGCCTGCCCTGCCGCAGGACCCCGCTTTCCAGGCTGAGGACGCACCAGGAGCAACGCGGTGGAGAGGCCACCGAGGGCTTCTCCTCATCATCAGGGAAGCCGTGCCACTGCAGGGGCAGGGGTGGGGTGGGCTTGAAAATAGGGCCTAACCTTTGGCTGGGTCTGATCAGAGAGTCTGCCCAAAGCAGGGGTGAATACAGACCTCAGGGTCAGGCTCAGGCTCAGGGTCAGGGTCAGGGTGGGGCCACTGCCAGGCCAGGCTGGAAGGAGACCAAGTGCTCTAACCCCACACCCTTCTGCCCTCCCTAGCTGGCCAGCCACGAGTGACCATGCTGCCCACACCCAACGGCAGTGGGCCCAGCCAGGAGCTCGGAGGCCATTGGCCAGAGACACCGGAGAGGTCCCCGTGCGTGGCCGGCGTCGTCCCTGTGGTCTACTACAGCATCCTGCTGGGCCTGGGGCTGCCCGGTGAGTGGGGGCTGGGCCTGGGGCCTGGGGCTGGCCAGGAGCTGGCGTGTCCTCCTTTGAAGGGAGCCGGTCCTCATGCTGACCCCTGGGACGCAGGATCATAGCCCCCACAGACCCCCAGGCTCCCCTTGTCTTTATGGGGGTGACCTGGGTCCCTGGGGAACAAAGCAGCGTGGGAGTGTAAGTGAGGGGCCAGAACTTGGGGTGCGGAAGCTACACCCAAGGTTTCAGCGGAGCAGAGAGGCCCCCTCCCACCCCCAGCAGTGGGCACTCTCCTGGGGGGACTGAGTTCACGCAGGACTGCCTTCCGCCCGGGCAAGAGCTCCCTGTTTCGGACGGCAGAGCTGGGGCTGGGGTTGGGGTGCGGATGCAGGGACGGACAGATGGTCCCGGCCTCGGGGAATTACCCTTCCCTGCCTGTTGCCGGGGAAACCTGTGTGTCAGGCAGAGGCCTGGCCCAGGTGAGGTCAGTGGCCGGCAGGACAGTGTGGACGGACAGGGCAGGGCTGATCTAGGTAGTCTTCCAACCAGATGAGTTTTAAGAAGATTCTAGAAAGAGGTAAAGGAGCCAGACCCAGCAGGTGGGGAGGCCCAGGGGCGACACCTTGGGAGATGAAGTCTGGGCGGCCCTCCTAACCCTCTGACCTCTCCCCTCTGGGACCTGGGCGGCCCCCAGTCAACCTCCTGACCGCGGTGGCCCTGGCCCGCCTTGCCGCCAGGACCAGGAAGCCCTCTTACCACTACCTCCTGGCGCTCACGGCCTCGGACATCGTCACCCAGGTGGTCATCGTGTTTGCAGGCTTCCTCCTGCAGGGGGCCGTGCTGGCCCGGGAGGTGCCCCGGGCGGCGGTGCGCACGGCGAACGTCCTGGAGTTTGCCGCCAACCACGCCTCCGTCTGGATCGCCGTCCTGCTCGCGGTGGACCGGTACCGGGCGCTGTGCCACCCCCTGTGCCATCGGGCGGCGGCGTCCTCGGGCCGGACCCGCCGGGACATCGCCGTGGTCCTTGGAGCTGCCCTGCTGACTGGCATCCCCTTCTACTGGTGGCTGGACGTGTGGAGGGACGCGGGGCCCCCCGGCCCCCTGGACAAGGTCCTCAAGTGGGCTCACTGCCTCACCGTCTATTTCATCCCCTGTGGCGTCTTCCTGGTCACCAACGTGGCCGTCGTCTGCCGGCTGCGGAGGCGGGGCCGGAGCGGGCCGCCGCCGCGGGTGGGCAAGAGCACGGCCATCCTGCTGGGCCTCACCGCGCTCTTCACCTTCCTGTGGGCGCCCCGGGTCTCCGTCATGCTCTACCACCTGTACGTGGCCCCCGTCCACCAGGACTGGAGGGTCCACCTGGCCTTCGACGTGGCCAACATGGTGGCCATGCTCAACACGGTGGTCAACTTCGGGCTCTGCTGCTTTGTCAGCAAGACCTTCCGGGCCACTGTCCGAGGGGTCCTCCATGACGCCCACCTGCCCTGCGGGGTGTGGTCACAGCCAAGGGGCCCCGGGGTGCAGCCTGTGCTGAAGCCCCCAGGGCTCCCCAAAGGGGCAGGACTGTAGCAGGGGGGGGCCCAGCCAGTGAGCTGGGGGCGGCCCCAGGCCAGGTGTCCGGGCCCTTGGTGGTCCCGCCCACAAAACTTGACCGACACCCTACTTTGCAAGATGAGGGCAGAGAGGAAGGCTCCTTCCTGTGGGGGGTGGCCCCCCACATAGAGGGGAGGACAGTTTACGGAACTTTTGCACGAGCCCCGCCCCTGTTTCCTGGGACAAAGCTGATCGTGTCAGCTGCTGTGGGCGTTGCTTGGTGCGGGACACGTCCCCTGGCACATTCGAAGGCCAGGTTCATGCTGGTTGGATGAATGAATGAATGAATGAGTGAGTGAAAAGGTGGATGGACCCATGGCTGACTTGTTTCCAGCCCCGCCCCTTTCCCAGGGCCCACCTCTTGGTCCCTAAGTGGGCCGCTTCTCTGGCTTCCAGTGGCCAGTGTGAAGAGAGGTGTCTCCAGGATTCCGGGGCTGGGGAGACCCAGCACTCTGGGCCAGGCGCCGGGAGGGGCTGCTGGGGAGGGGGGGCGGCCCTGAAGCAGACGCCCAGCTCCGGGGAGACACAGCTCCCTGGGCTCCCGGGAGCCATAACCCCCCTTGGGGGGGGTCTGCCCGGTTCCTGGGGCCTCGGTTTTCATTGTCGCCGTGGCCACGCCCCGAAGGAAATGCCCTCCCAGGGCAGGGGCCAGGGAAGGACCGGTGGGAAGGGAGGACATGGCCCTGCCCTCTGAGCCCACTCCACTTGGGGAAAGTCCTCTTCTCCGCCACACACCACCGGGAGGAAGGAGACGGCTCTGCTGACCTGAGACTGACCCTGAGGGGCTCCCCCGGGTCCCTGCTGGGCCCCCCGTCTCCTGGAGTGGCAGCTGGGAGAGAGCGGCAGATGGGCCACCCACCTGCTCCAGGCGCTGGGTAAACACATTAGCGGCAGGCTGAGCTGACCTTTCCCCTGAGCAGGAGGCTCGGGCTGGGCCCCCACCCCCACCCAGCCCCGTAATGGGGTTACGTAAGTGAAAGAGCCAGATGGATGCTGGGCATACAGTCAGTGCACAATAAATGCTCAGCTTTTCCCCCTTTGCGTCTCTCTTTCTGCCCAGAGCAGGGCCATCCAGAAAAGACGTAGCCATTTCCAGAGGTGGGGAAAAGGCAGGTTCCCAACCCTTTATCTACAATTCTAAACTCCAAAAAAGCTCAGAAACCTCCGGAGTTTGCCACTGACACACTGCGTGGCGAAGCCGGACCAGCACGGATGGGAGACAAGGCACCGTAGGACCCTGTGCGGGCCGCGGCCCGGGCTCTTGACCGTGTGGCTACGGGCTGCCGCCCCGCGCCCACTGGCGTTGAGACCTAGACTAAGCCACACGTGACTTCATTCCGAAACATCCCGAATTCCGAGGCCTCTCGGGTCCCAGGAACTCAGAGGAAGGACTGAGGACCTGCAAGTCCCGCCATTCCTGCCACCGCGTGGTCTCAACGGGCCCTGAGTGGATTGGGGGCTCCGGGGTTCCCCGCTGGCAGAGTTGGTGGACCAGGGCTTCATTCCTTGCTCTAGGAGGAGCAGGGGCAAGGGCAGGCACCCCCAGGGGGGAAGGGAGCCCTGGAGGGTGAGAGGATGTCACCCCACCCCCCTGGTCTTGTCCCAGGGTCTGAGTCCACCCTGCAGATGGAGGCTCTGGGAAGAAAGGTGCCTTTTGGATGCAGAACCGAATGCAGCACAGCTGGGGAGGCACCTTCTTCCTCGTATAAAATCGACAGGACCCGGCCCTGGCTGGCGTAGCTCAGTGGATTGAGCGCAGGCTGCGAACCAAAGTGTCGCAGGTTCGATTCCCAGTCAGGGCACATACCTGGGTTGCAGGGTTGCAGGCCATGACCCCCAGCAACTGCACATTGATGTTTCTGTCTCTTTCCCTCCCATCCCTCTCTGAAAATAAATAAATAAAATTCTTTAAAAATCGACAGGACCCTGAAGGAGAGACACCCCAAGCCAGGGGAGGCCCCTGTCATGGGAGGCAGCCGTGGAGGGGGCAGTGGCCAGATGCCACTCTCTACTGGCTGCTGAGCTGTCCTCCAGCACACACTTACTCACTCACTCACTCGTCCCTGACTCGGGTGAAACCGGCAACTGCCCCCCCCACACAAAAAAAACACAGGTGGGGAGTCTCTGCAGACTAAGGAAACATGCAGAGGGAGGTCAGGCGGCGTGCACACGGCCCTGAGCCGGCCGAGAGCAACGCAGACTCGAACCCAAGTCCACCGGCTCCAGGTCCGTCTCATCCGCCACCCCTCAGCGGCCAGAGATCTAGAGGAAGGAAGGGCAGCCTCAGGGACCCTGGGCGTCACGTCACTTTCCAGTCTTGGACTGCTCAGATGTGGGAGTCGATACCATATTTTCCTAATAAGTTGCGTTAGGGAACAGTGTCTTTTTAATATTTCGGTAACCTTCCATGAACTGAAGAGAGCATCATCGCGTTGATAAGCATGTCACTGAAAAGTATTACTAACACTGCTCTTGCCCTGGCTGGGTAGCTCGGTTAGTTAGAGCATCATCCAGATACACCAAAGTCGCAGGTTCGATCCCCAGGCGGGGCACATACAGGAAGCAACCAATGAATGCATGGGTGGGTGGAGCAAGTAACTCCCTGTTACTGTTTGAGAGCAGTTATTCTTCAAGCGTCTTTCACGTCTCCCCAAGTCTATATATCGTTTTTGCTGGTTTGGAAGTTGGTCGAAAAGTTGGTTGCTGGTCTCTCTACCTGGGTGTATTGGGTTCCCGGGGCCGCCTTGACAAAACACCCCAGTCTGGGTGGCTCACACAGCAGACACGGATTGTCTCACAGTTCCGGAGGCCGGGAGCCCAAGGTCAAGGTGTCAGCAGGTTTGGCTTCTTCCGGGTCCCCTCTCCTGGGCTTGCAGGTGGCTGTCTGCTCCCCGTGTCCTCACATGGTCCTTCCCCTGTGCGGGCGCGTCCCTGGTGTCTCTCCGTGTGTCCCAACCTCCTCGTATAAGGGCGCCAGTCCGACTGGGTCCGCGCCCACTCTGACGGCCTCCTTTTAGCTTAATTACCTATTTAAATCCATGTTCTGAGGTACAGGGAGTTAGGGCATCCGCTTAGGAATTTAGGGTGGACAGAATCAGCCCATAACACTGGTTGTTTTAAAGAGAAATGTTTGTCTGGGCATCCAGTTTTTTTGTGTTGAAAGTAACGTTTAGCTTTATTTTTAATTATATTTTATTGATTATGCTATTACAGTTGCCCTAATTTGTCCCCCTTTGCCTCCCTCCACCCAGCACCCCCCCACTCCCTCAGGCGATCCCCCAACCATTGTTCATGTCCGTGGGTCACGCATATAAGTTCGTTGGCTTCTCCATTTCCTGTGCTGTACTTTACATCCCCGTGGCTACTCTGTAACTACCTGTTTGTACTTCTTAACCCCCTCACCTCGTCACCCATTCCCCCACACCCCCTCCCATCTGGCAACCATCAAAACGCTCTCCGTATCCATGATTCTGTCTCTGTTCTCGTTTGCTTAGTTTGTTTTTTTAGATTCAATTGTTGATAGATATGTATTTATTAGCAGTTTATTGTTCATAGTTTTGATCTTATTTTTTCTTAAATAAGTCCTTTTAACATTTCATATAATAATGGTTTTGTGATAATGAACTCCTTTAGTTTTTTGTTTTTTCTTATCTGGGAAGCTCTTTATCGGCCCTTCCATTCTAAATGATGTCTTTGCTGGGTAGAGCAATCATGGTTGTAGGTCCCTGCTTTACATGACTTTGAATGTTTCTTGCCAATCCCTTCTAGCCTGCAAAGTTTCTTTTGAGAAATTAGCTGATTGTTTTATGGGAACTCCCCTGTAGGTAACTAACTGGTTTTCTCTTTTTAAAAAAACATTTTTTAAAAAGGTTTATTTTTCAGAGAGAGGGGAAGTGGGGGAGAAAGAGAGGGAGAGAAACATCAGTCTGTGTTTGCCTCTCATGTGGTCCCCACTAGGGACCTGGCCCACAACCCAGGCGTGTGCCCTGACCAGGAATCGAACTGGCGACCCCCTGGTTCACAGGCGGCACCCAATCCACTGAGCCACACCAGCCAGGGCTAACTACTTTTCTCTCGCTGATTATAAGATTCTCTCTTTATCGTTAAACTTTGGCATTTTAATTATAATGCGTCTTGGAGTGGGCCTCCTTGCATCCATCTTGTTTGGGACTCTCTGTGCTTCCTGGTCTTGCATGCCTGTTTCTTTTGCCAAGTGAGGGAAGTTTTCTTTCACCATTTTTTCGAATAGATTTCCAATTTCTTGTTCTTTCTCTTCTCCTTCTGGCACCCCTATGATGCAGATGTTGGAATGCTTGAAGTTGTCCCAGGGGCTGCTTGCACTACCCTCGTTTTGGGGGGGGGGATTCTTTATTCTTTCTGTTGTTCTGATTGTTTTTTGCTTCCTTACATTCCACGTCATTGATTTGATTCTTGGCTTCATCCACTCTACTGTTGTTTCCCTGTAAATTGTTCTTTATTTCCATTAGTGTATCCTCCATTTCTGACTGGATCTTTTTTATGCTTCTGAGGTCCTCACTAAGTCCCCAGAGCATCCTTATCACCAGTGCTTTGAACTCTGCATCTGACAGATTGCTTATCCCCATTTCGCTTAGCTCTTTTTCTAGAGTTTTGATCTGTTCTTTCATCTGAGCCATGTTTCTTTGTCTCATTATTTTGGCAGCCTCCCTGTGTTTGTTTCTATGTACTGGGTAGAGCTGTTTTGACTCCGTGTCTTGGTTGTGTGGCCTAATGTAGTAGGTGTCCTGTAGGGTCCTGGGCACCGCCTCCCCTATCACTCTAGCTGGGTACTTGAGGTGCACCCTTAGTGTGGGCTGAGTACACCTTCCTCTTGTAGTTGAGCCTTCATTGCTGTTGGCAGGTCAGTGGGAGGGATTCACCCAGGCTAATGAGCTGCAAAGATTGGCTGTGACCACTGACCACCAACCTCTGCCCTCCATGGAGGATCACCTGTGCAGGGGTAGGGTGGTGGTGCTCTGACGTGGTCTGTGGCTGTCCACTGGGTGTGCAGGCCCTGGGGGTTCTCGGGTGGTGCAGGCTGAGGTCAGCGCCCACCTGCCTTCTGCCCAGGGCCACCTGCCTGAGCTATAAAGCAGTCTGCGATGGCTGCCACTTGTGCTGGGCTCGGAGGTTCCCAGGTGAAACCAAGCAGTGAGTCTAGGCTGGCTGCCACTGGTGCTGGGCCTGGGGCTGCTTAGCCAGAGGTATGAGGGCTGGTTGCTCGTTGAGGCTGGTTGTTGCTTGTTCTAGAAGATTTAGGAAATTGGGACCAACCCACCTTTCACCTGTTGCTATCGGTTCAGACAGCAGGGGG